AAGAACCCTAGAAGCTTGCCCGCAGGTACACCGAACACACACTTATCGGGGTTTAGTTTTATGCGGGCGGAGCGGAGACTCTCAAAAGTTTCCGCTAGATCTGAGAGTAACATTTCCTGGTTGCGCGTCTTTACAACCAAGTCATCGACATAAGCCTCAACATTACGTCCTAATTGGTTACCCAAAGAAATTCGAGTAGTATGTTGAAAAGTAGGACCTGCATTCTTTAACCCGAAGGGCATTGTCGTATAACAATAGGTTCCTATGGGGGTAATGAACGCAGTTTTTTCCTCATCCTCCCTAGCCATGCGAATCTGATGGTAACCAGAGTATGCATCTAGAAAACACAAAAGGTCGCACCCCGCAGTGGAGTCGACAATCTGATCTATGCGAGGCAGGGGGTAAGGATCCTTAGGACATGCCTTGTTAAGGTCGATGTAGTCGATACACATCCGAAGCTTGCCGTTCGCCTTGGGAACGACCACCGGGTTCGCCAGCCACTCCGGATGGATGACCTCACGGATGAATCCGGCTTCCAGAAGTCGCGCCACCTCCTCGCGGATGAAGGCTTGACGTTCCGGGGCCTGCCGCCGCACTTTCTGCCGGACCGGCCTTGCGCCCGGCCGCACGGCGAGACGGTGCTCAATCACCTCCCTGGGGACCCCGGGCATATCCGCCGGTCTCCATGCGAAGACGTCAGCGTTTGCCCGCAGGAAGGAGACGAGCGCGTCTTCCTATTTGCCGTCCAGAAGACCACCGATCCGTGTGGTCTTGGACGGGCCGTCGCCCAGGGCAACCTCCTTGACCGGGACCTCGTCGCCTGTGATCATCCGCTGCCTCGGGGTGGCGGGGGCGGAGGCGCCAAGCCTCTCGTCGCCACCCTCGGGCTTGGATGCAGCGGCGAGGTGGTCCGCGCGCTGCTCCAGACAGGCGAGCGCGACTTTGAGGTCGCCATGGACAGAGATGGGGCCACCGGGGCCCGGCATCTTCATCTGTAGGTAGGCGTAGTGGACCGCCGCCATGAACTTCACCAACGCGGGCCTCCCCAGGACCGCGTTGTAGGGCAGACTGAGGTCCGCCACATCGAAGTTCACCCGCTCCGTGCGGAAGTTGGCGGATCCACCGAAGGTGACCGGTAGGTCGATGTGACCTAACGGCCACGTGTGCCCCGGCGTCACACCGATAATTGGCTGGGACGGCCGGAGCACCATCCCCGGGGCCTTGATGGCGTCAAAGGCCGCAGGGGAAAGGATGTTGAGGGCCGCTCCCCCATCAATGAGGACACGCCCCAACTTCACGTTGCAAACGGTGGGAGAAACCACCATCGCAATCTGCCCTCCCCGGGCAACGCACGGTGGGTGGTCGGTCTGGTCGAAGGTGAGGGCAACCTCCGACCACCGCGCCCGACACGTCGCCTCATGAGTAGGGGCCGCGGCCAGAAGCTCTCGCTTCATGGCCTTGAAGCTCCGGCGAGAAACGTGAGCACACGCTCCCCCATCGACGGTGGCAATGGTGGCCCCAGGCTCTTGGAAACCTAGGCCATCATCGCCGTCATCGATGTCCTCGGCGGGGGCCTTCTGCTTGGCCTCACTTCGCCGATTACCGGTAGGAACCGCCCGGGATTTGCCCTCTCGGCGCTCCTGCCTCCTCTCCTCCTCCCACTTCCTCGTCCGCTCAGCCAAACTTTTGACTGCACGGCAGTCCGCGAGGTCGTGAAGGGAAGTGTTGTGGACGGTGCACCACTTGCCGGTTGGGCGCTCCCTGTTGGGAGCGCCGGCCTCGTTCTTTTTGCCTCCCGCAGGCCTCCCCTTTCGGGTGGCCCGCGAAGCGCCCTCGACGGCGAGGACATGACCCTCGTCGTCGGTATGGGCTGACCTCTTCTTCCTCCTCCTGTCACGCCGCCCTATCTGAGCGGCGGATCCGGGGGCGGCCGAAGCTGCCACACCGGAACCGGAGGGGTTCCAGGTCCATGCCTCCTCCTTACGAGCCACTCGGTCCGCGAGCTGAAAAAGCTCCGCGGTAGTCTGGGGCTCCTTGGAGGCGATCTTTTCAAGCATGCGGTTGTGCCGCACACCCCCCCTGAACGCGTAAATCACCGCGTGCGCAGGGATGCATGGTATGGTGTTGCGGACTTGACAGAACCGCTGAATGTACGAGCAAAGTGACTCATCATCCCTTCGCTGTACTGCGTGCAAGTCCGCTTCCTCACCTGGGCGCGGATATGTGCCTTGGAAGTTCATGGTGAACTGTTGGCACAAATCCTCCCAAGAGTGGACAGACGCGGGTGGCAAGTTCATTAGCCAACCCCGCGCTTGTCCTTTCAGGGCCATGGGAAAGAAATTCGCCATGACCCTGTCGTCACCCCCGGCGGCCTCGATCCCGGTCGTGTAGACCTGGAGAAACTCGGCGGGGTTGACGCTCCCGTCATATTTTTCGGCGATGGTGGGCCGGAACCTTGGGGGCCAACGGACATTCCGAAGGCTCGCCACAAAGGCTCTACAGCCGACACCACCAACCGGGGGCACGGAGGGCTGATCCCCGCGTCCGTGGTGAGGTGACACTCCGGACGAGGAGGCGCCCTCCGTTGCGTGGGGAGCACGTCGGCCATTACGCCGGCGCTCGATACTGATGCGAGCATCCGGTTCCCCACGCAGATCTTCCCGGGTCGGAGGCGTTGACGAAGGAGTAGCGGCCGAATGGCGAACAGCGGCTGCCGCTCGCCGCGCCCTCCGTCTTGACGATGCGGAGCCGGTGGTAGCAGCACCAGAGGCCTTGGTGGCGGAGAACTGCCCACCAGCATCTAGGCGCTGCCGTGCAGTCATGACCAATTTGGCCACATCGTCCAGCCAACGTTGGGCTGGAGACTCCGGGTCATGGGCGACGGGCGGGTGACGTAGGAGCGCGCCCGCAGCTTGGAGCGCGCCCTGGGGCGTGCTGCCGTCGCCGTAGACGAGGAGGCGACGCTCCCCATCTCGCCGCCCTTCTCTACCTCCTGTGGGTGTCGAAGTCGCGGATCCTTCGGCCCTCTCGAGCGCCTTCTCCCGCCTAGGACTTTGGCGTGGAGGGGGCGGTGGAGTACGAGCTCGACGGCGTGGGTTTGGCTCCCCGTCGTCACCGCTCATACTCGGGGAGAGGTCGTGTGCCTTTGCTGGCTCGGCCATTGGGCTGAACAGGAAAAGCTTGGCGCACACGAAAGAGTGCGAGAGCTCAGAAAATCCCTCGCAGAGCCCCTACCTGGCGCGCCAGATGACGGAGCGTGGGGCTCCTCACCGGGAGACCGCGCAGGCCCCCCTTAGCCGGTTCGGCCGGGGGCTCAGGGAGAGATTCTAAGCACTCTGTATGTGGAAGGCTCGCGAGACAGGAAACACACAAGACACGGGCGATGTATACAGGTTCGGGCCGCTGAGAAGCGTAATACCCTACTCCTGTGTTTTGGGAGATCTGTGTATGAAGGAGCTACAAAGTATCAGCCAGCCTCTCCCTTGTTTTGGGTTTCTAATCTGGAAAAGTCCAGTCCCCCATCTAAGTGGGCAAGGTCCTCCTTTTATATCTTAAGGGGATACCACATGCACCATTTCTCTCTTTTTTGTGGGGACTTACCCCACCTTTTCATAAATGGACGGAGATTTGTATAGTTGTCGTCCGAGTCACCATCTGATGAGACGGCTCACAACTACCTCCACTTTCGCCGGGAGCTGGTGCGACGTGGAATCGTGGCTGTCTGCTGACGACATGACCGGTATCAGACCAGTCACGTCGGTCATTCTTGTCCACCACGTGTCAGCTTAGCATTCTACATGCTCGCCCTTCTTCACACAACATCTTGCCTGTAATGGTTAGGATGAAGCCTGGCATATATCTGACCAGATGACTAACGTGCCATCTCTGGGAGGCAACACGCTAGCTCCAGCTGGGGACGAGCGCCTAGAAGCCCTCGTCCTGACGGGATGGGGCGAGGCGTGCGTCAGATCGCCTGTCGCCACCTAACCCGCGATCTGACCGGTCTGTGACTGGTCACAGACCGGATAAACGAGTGCACTGCACTGCGTTACATGCGGCGTGACACGCTCAGTCAAACCGCAATAAATGTGGTTAGGTGAGCCCCACTGTGCTCACCTAACCCATACACGCGGAGCAAAAACCCACGAGGGGTCGGGGCGCCTCGGCCCTCGGGGCCGATAGGGGTGCGGCCCGACCCCCTCGGGGGGACTAAGAGGAGGGCGAACGCATCACCCTCGGGCCCGACGTCCCTCGGGGGTACCAGGCCACGTGTGCGATTGTGTCTGCCTTAAACCTCTAGTCATGATACTCCTGATCCCATGTCACCGACAGACTATCATGCCATGTTCAGGTGGAAAAAAATAAACATTTTTGGCTCTAGCTGTTTCTCATTCATCTTCCTCTCGAGAGCGCAATTGAATTTTGTATCTGGTTTCCTGTCTTGAATCTTTTCCTTGGTTCCTTCCTAGTTCCTAGAATCCACAAGCACCTTTGATTTTTTTTTTCTCCCTCGCAGTAAAATGACTGTTGATGACATTAGCCACACCACAAATTAAATCTAAGTGAAAATTACCGAAGGAGGAAAATATAGTCTTTCTAGAATGATGGTGTTCATCTCACACAGATGTGATTGGTACATTTGTTGATTTTGCAGAACATGATCATAAGACCCAGAAGAAAGTTCTTCCATTGTCATAAGCTAGGGCATGACACGCACGTCTCAACTTGCGCGACAATGGCACAGTCGAACCATCCACATCAGCACTGCTTAACGAAAGCAGCAGGCCAGCAGCCGGTTAATTTCTCGCTGACTCGCAGTCAACGCTGAGTTTCTCGTCAACTAATTGGACGTTGGCTCGATCAAGGCGATTGGAATGGGCCCAAAACGAGAGTGAAATTATTCGATCACCACAATTCAAGTCCAACGAGTAAGTCTCATTTTTGCCAACAGTTTTGGCCCAAAAACTAATTTTCAGCAGACCATGGAACAAACCCTAGAGTGACATATGAACGCTAACTGAGAGAAGGCCTCTCAACTCAAGTGATTATGAACAGTGAAAGGAATCAGCTATTGAAATTTTACAGAAAAGAATCCTTTACATCGTTTTACATTTTGACGCTATAAATCACAAGTCCTCGTGCCATTCAGACTCTTCCTCAGTTGCTCTATGATCCATCTAGAGATGAAAAACAGATGGTGAATAAACTCAATCCGGAATGGGCGGCAAACGAGATCCTATTTGTCAGGGAGCAGGACAAGCCATTTCTCTCTTCTTCTTTTCTTCCCCATTCTCAGCCAGTTCATCACTCATGTGCCTTTGTTCTAACCTCTTCACCATTCTTGCTATCAATGTTCTATACTTCTACAATCTAACTGTCTAAGGCCACTCACCAGAAGTCACCGCAAGAACAAGTGCCTCCACTGAAATGATGGAATCTGTTGGCGTCTCGGACCACAATTTCCCTTTCAAATAGCTTGGACACTAGCTTGGTGAACTCATGGCAATCGCCGCAAACTCTGAGGTTCTTGGCAATCCTTAGAGGTGTACCTGAGGCAGTGCTGATCAAACCAAACGATATCGCAAGCCTCTCGCTGTGCCTATGCAGCAAATCTATCTTCTCTTCTTCGCTCACATCATGCAGAACAAAACTAGTATCCTCGACATACTGACCTTCTCTTCTCAGTTTTTCAGTTATCTCGGCAAGTTTGAGATGAATAGCCTGTGAGTCTCTGTGAGAGTGATCTCTTGCAGTGAAAGTGTGGACAGTGTTTCCTATCTCAATCCAGCTGCATGCTGGGTCTTTTCTCAAACCCTGTTCTGTCATCTTGGTTCTAATCTCCTTGACATTATTCCACTTGCCCATTTCGGCGAAAACATTTGATACAAGGACATAATTACCTGGGTTATCTGGTTCCAACTCAAGAAGTTTATCAGTTGCAATCATAGCAAGCTCATGGTTCTTGTGTATACGACATGCCCCAAGGAGTGCACACCACACCACAGATTTTGGTTCCAAAGGCATAGATTTAATGAACTTGTAAGCTTCTTCGGTCTGTCCTGAGCGACCAAGAAGATCAACTACACAGGCATAATGTTCCTGCCATGGTTGTAACTTGTATTTGCTTACCATCATATCCAGATAAAATTTACCCTCATCGACAAGTTTTGAATGACTACAGGCATAGAGTAGAGCAAGAAAAGAAACATGATCAGGAGATACACCTGTTTCCAGCATTCTCTTGAAAATATATATGGCTTGCTTGCCATGCCCATGCATCCCAGTAGCATTAATCATCGCTGTCCAGAGAACAACATCTTTACACTTCGCCTCATCAAAAACTTTGAGAGCGTAGTTCATGCTTCCACAACCAGAATACATGTCCACAAGGGAGCTAACCACAGCACCTTCCACGGGAAATTTACCTCTGATAAGGAAACCATGAATTTCCTTTCCTTTTGTCAAGGATGACAATCCAGCAATTGCTCCCAGAATACCAACTAGTGCTACAGAATCGGGTTGGATGCCTGCATTCAGCATCTTGCCAAACAAGGCAACAGCTTCATGTAACAGCCCATTCTCCGCAAAACAGTTTACCATACTAGTCCAGGTAACAATGTCCTTTTTGTCTAACATTTCAAATATATTAAGCGCATAGCAAACCTCTCCACACTCTCCATATATATCTATGATTCTATTCTTCAGTATCAAGTCAAGCAAGCCATTTCTAATAGCATAAGAGTGCACTTGCTTTAACAGTGAGATGCTTTTCAAACCACTGCATGCTTCCAAAATGCTTCCCATCATCATAGGATCCACCTTAATGCCCTCTTTCTGTGCTGTTCTAAACTTTCCGATTGCCTCAGAATACCGAGAACTTTGCGCGTAACAGGCAATGATTGTTGTCCATGACACATGGTCCTTAATCCTCATCCTGTCAAATACACGGGCGGAGCACTCCACGGAGTAGCACTTTATGTACATGTCCATCAATGTATTAGCTATCTGCAAATCACTATCAAGCCTTTGCTTAACAGCATATGCGTGAACCTCCCTGCCATTGATTAACCTACCCAAATGACCCACTGCAGACAATAAGCTCACAATGCAAGCATGATCAGGATTGAAACCATTCTGTACCATTTCGCCAAAAAAATCGATGGCCTCAGCATATAGCCTATTTTGGACATAACAGGAGAGCATTGAGTTCCATGATATGTAGTCCTTGTCACCAATCTCACGGAATACTCTGAGAGCGCTATCCACCCAACCGCATCTTGCATACATGACAAGCAAGGCATTGCATTGGATATTGAACTCGGTACCGCATTTCAGAAGCGCTGCATGTAGCTCCCTTCCATGGTTCAGCTGAGCAAGCTCTGCACAGACCTGTAGCACACCAACGGTTGTGTAAGAATTCATACTGAAGCCGTCGCTCTGCATCCGTCGGAACAGGTCGAGAGCCTCCAAGAACATCCCGTTCTGCACGCAGCCTGATATAGCCGAGTTCCATGAGGCCACATCCCTCCCGTCGCGCATCCACTCGAACACCCGCAGCGCCGAATCCAAGAGGCCGCACTTGGCGTACATCCCGACGAGCGCATTGGCCACGAGCGTGCTCCGGTCGAGGCCGCTCTTCACCGCCAGCCCGTGCACCTCGCTCCCGCACCTCCCGTCCCCCTCCGCGCCGCACGCCTTGAGCACGGACGCGAGCGTGCACCCGTCGGGCGCCGCCCCCGCCACGGGCTCCGACGCCCGCATCGCCCGGTAGACGCCCACGGCCTCGCCGGCGCCCCCGGACGACAGGCACGCCCCGATGAGCGCGTTCCATGAGAAGACGGTCCGGGCGGGCATCCCGTCGAACAGGCGGTGGGCATCCGGGAGGCGCCCGCACTTGCCGTACATGAACAGCAGCTTGGTCGCGAGGAACCCCGCGTCATCATCGCCCAGGGCGCCCGTGGCCACCGCGTGCGCGTGCAACTGCCTGCCCTCCGAGACGGCCCTCCTGACGGCGACGAGGTCGAGGACCCAGCCATAGTGGTCCGTGGGAGGAGGGGCGCGCCCGCGCGCCGAGCGGGCGGCGAGCTGGCGGAGGGCCTCCCGCAGGTCGCCGTCCTTGCAGAGCTGCCTCAGGGAGGCGCCGGCGCTGGCAGGCGGGAGCTTCCGGCGAGGGGTTGGGTGGAAGGGGAGCGCGGCGGTGGTGGCCATGGAGGCTCGTGGTCGTGGGAGCCGAACGCTCATGTCAGCGCCATGGCGAAGCAGGAGAAGAGGAAAACGGATTGGGATTTGGGGGAGAATGGATTCAGGTCGCCCGAGCAGGCTGGGAAGTGGGAATGGGTAGCCCATTTAAGCCTCTCTAAGGCCTCGTATGGATAGGCCACAATAGCAGCCCAACTACATAGGTGGACCAAGATTTTTTACTAAGGAAAAAAGTACACCGAATGTCCATCAACTTGTCATCGAGATACCAAATCGTCCCCCAGCCACAAAACCGGATACAACACATCCTTCAACTTATAAAACCAGTGCAAACTAGGTCCCTCAGCAGTTTTAAATCCGATTTTGTCCGACATGACGGCTGAGTCAGCGAGGGACCCACGTGGGCCCTACATGTCAGGATGCCACGTCGGCAGACCAGCCTCCCCCTCCACCGGCGCCGTCGACGAGCCATGCCGCTGCGGAAACGCCCACCGCCTCCGGCCAAGGCTCCAGAAGCCCCATCAGAAACCAAGCCCAAGATCTCGTAGCCCACTAGACCCAGCGCCGCGGCGGTGGCGCCGCCTCCGCCGATGGTTCTCCCGGACAGTGTCCTCGCCGCCATGTCACACCATGAGGGGGGATCTACAAAGCTCGTGTTCGCGGGAGGGGACAAGGGCATGTCGCAGATGAAGTTCCGGATCAAGACCGGATGCTGATGAGCACCCTCACCAAGCACCTACGAGGCCTCACCTCCAAGGGTGTCCTCAAGGTGGTCAACAGAGTCCACAAGCGTGCCGAGAAGATCTACATGGACGCCCGCATCGACCCGTCGCCGGAGATCACTAGGGAACCTGGTACCGCAACGGCCAGCTCGACTCCGACGCCGTCACCTCCGCACAGCGTAGGTGCCTCGAGCAGATCGACAGGCTTGGCGTCGCCACGACAGAGTCCATCTTCGACGGCATCAGCAGGGATTACCCTAGCCTAGCCTACTCAACCGAGCAGGTCAGGGACATCCCACCTCGTCGTTGCCTCCTCGCCGGTGAAGAGTCGAAGGAAATAGAAGTAGAGAGGGGAGAGGTGGACGCCGCCCTGCTGCACGCCGCTGCCCTGCCGCTCCTGCTCGCCCGTCGTCGTCCTCGCCGCGTCGTTTCCCCATCCGCCACACCGCGCCGCTTCCCCGCTGCGCAGCTCCACCCCTCAAGCCCATCTCCTCAACCGCTGGCCACTGCCCATCTCCTCCCCGTGCCTCTGCCGCCACCCAACTCCAAGGCTTCCCCCACCGGCGTCGCGGCCCTCGCACGGCCGCCGCGGAGCTTTGCCAAGCTACCACTGTTGCCAGCCGCCATCGTGGCGCCACCCTCCTCCTCTCCCGCCTCGCCCCACCAACCGGCCTACAGGCAAAGAGAGAGAGAAAGAGAGAGGAGGAACCGAGGGAGAGAAGGAGGGAGAGATGATTCAGCCTGACATGTGGGTCCCACGCTGACTCAGTTGCCACGTTGGACAAAACCAGGGTCAAAACCACCAAAGAACCAATGTGACCGATTTTGATTAGTTAAGAGACATCAGATATCTGGTTTTGCGATTTTGTGGATGATTTTGTAACTCGTTAACAAGTTGAGGGACCTTTGGTGTACTTTTTCCTTTTACTAAATCCCGGCCTATCGACGTCTATTGGCCGGGAATGAGGCCCATCAAACAATGACAAACACTCTACTACTCCCTTCATTCCAAATTATACAGCTAAATTTCTTATATTTTAGTTGGATATAACACATCTTACTACTACGAATATTTACACCAGACTAAAATTTTTATATTTTGGGATAAGAGGAATACGTAATATTTTGTTCGTTTCATAAAATATGAAAATAGTACGAAACGGGACATCTTCCAGTACTATAAATCTGAATTGGTTTGTTTTCATGAACGGAGGGAGTAGATGATTACTATTTGATCATGTAGTTTTGAGTGGTTTGCTCACGTCGCGTGGCGATTTGCCATTGTTGTTATCGAACTAATCCATTAGTTTTCTCCTTAATACTGTTTACGTGGCCATCTTTTTGGTCGCAACAGATGACGCCGACGAGTATATGACTTGCCCTTTGACACGCCGCCTCCTCCCCCTTCATTTTCTCGAAGCGCTTCCCTTCCCTTCGCTTCCCCGCACAATCTGCAAACGCGCCACCCGTCGCTCATAAACCCCTCTCCCTCTCTCTCTGGCCGACACATGGACCCCACCGCTCCCAACTCCGGCGACGCCAACGGCGGCGCGGCCGCCGACGCCACCGCCCCGTCCAACACCACCGTCACCCTCCCGCCGCTCACCCTCCGCGACGTGCCCCTGCTCCCGTCGGCGGCGGCGGCGACCGACACGATCCCCAACCCGATCTCCCGCCACCCCTACTTCCACCCGCCGGCCACCTTCTACATCTCCCCGGGTGACGTCTCCCTCCGCCACGCCTTCTTCGACCTCGCCTCCGCGTCGCCGTCCCCGCTCGTCGCCTACCGCCCGCGCGGGGCCGCGCGCGGGGGTCGCCGTGGACCCCGCCCGCGCGCGCGCCGCGGTCGTCACCTGCGGGGGGCTCTGCCCGGGCCTCAACACCGTCCTCAGGGAGCTCGTCGTCGGCCTCCGGGAGCTCTACGGCGTCCGCGACGTCTTCGGCGTCGCCGCCGGCTACCGCGGGTTCTACGGCCCCGACGCCGACCACGCCCGCCTGGACCTGGCCGCCGTCGACGACTGGCACAAGAAGGGCGGCACCGTGCTCAAGACCACCCGTGGTGGCTTTGATCTCAACAAGATCGTTGACGGCATCGTCGCGCGCGGGTATACGCAGGTGAGAGCAAACCCCTACCGTTTTTAGAGTTTTCAGGTTTTATGTATTTTTTTGGCAAATAGCTAAAGTTTAAACTGATCTCACAAATCATGTGCACGTGGAAACCCCTAAGCTTCTTTTTACGCCAAGCTGGCAAATGAAAGCTGGCCAATTTTGTTAAGATTAGAAGCACAAGAAACATGTTACAGGTATTTGCAAGTGTACAATGTGTCATCTGAATTGGCAAGGATACTATCTTGGTGCTACAAATTTGCTTTAGACATTTTAGTATGTTGGTGTACAATCATGGGGGTTGTTCTGAATTGACATGGAGTAGTACTTATTATGTTAGGTGTCATTATGGAAGAATTATCTCAAAGAATTTGTCTGTCCAGAATTTTTCTTTGTCAGTAGAGTTTCTTTTTCCACCGGGCTCTTTGTCGGTTAGAGTGGTCAAGTACTCAAGTGGTTGAAGTCTTACTGATTTGATCGATCAGCGTTGAGTCGTCTTGCTAGTTCAACATGCTAATTTGTTTCAGTTATTGCTTGTATTTTGGCTTATTAAAGTGTCTGACCTCAAACACTTTTTATCATGACTATATCTTGCTGAAGGTTTATGCAATTGGAGGGGATGGAACAATGAGAGGAGCTGTGGCCATCTTCAACGAGTTTAAGCGCCGTGGTTTGAACATTTCTATTACAGGGATCCCGAAAACTGTGGACAATGATATCGGCATCATAGACAGGTCATTTGGGTTCCAAACCGCAGTGGAGATTGCTCAGCAGGCAATCGACGCAGCACATGTCGAGGCTGTGAGCGCCGTGAATGGCATTGGACTTGTCAAACTTATGGGCAGGAGCACAGGCCACATTGCTCTTCATGCCACCCTGAGCAGCCGCGATGTTGACTGCTGTTTGATTCCTGAGGTTGATTTCTATCTTGAAGGAAAGGGGGGCCTGTTTGAGTTCTTGTATGAAAGGATAAAACAGAAGGGACATGCTGTTGTCGTTGTTGCTGAAGGTGCTGGTCAGGAATTGATTCCAAGGACTGACGATCAAAAGCGGGAGCAGGACGAGTCCGGCAACATTGTGTTCCTTGATGTGGGTCCCTGGTTAAAATCTGAGCTGGGTAAATGGTGGAAGAGAGAACACCCAAGCGAGTTGTTCACTGTGAAGTATATCGATCCCACTTACATGATACGAGCTGTTCCAGCAAATGCCACTGACAATCTGTACTGTACATTGTTGGCACATTCGGCGATCCATGGGATCATGGCTGGGTACACTGGCTTCGTCCCTGGCCCGATTAATGGAAACTATAGCTACATACCGCTGGAAGATGTTGCTGTGGCGAAGAACCCGGTGGATGTGAATGATCACAAATGGGCATGGGTTAGATCAGTCACAAACCAACCAGATTTCATGAAGCCAAAATACTAAGACCAAAAGTGCTGTTACTGGACATGGTTGTATGACTTTTTCTCCCTGGAGCCTTGACACGTTAAGCTTGATTTCTTTCTATCCAGTTTCTTCTCTTGTTATGCCGATCTATCTATAAGATGTTAGGTATTCTGATCTCCCTGGTTTGTGTTTGTGTGCACTTGAAATCGTGTTAGCAGGTATTGCTGTAAATCTGTAGTACATAAATAAATGAAGTGGCAGGAAATGTTGTTCTCCATTGGCGAATGAGTTATATGTCGTGTCATGTAAATATTGCTTATCTTGAAGACTTAATTGGCGATTCTGCGCTAATCTCTCGCTTAAAGAATCAGAACATTATAACGTGAAATATTATAGCAGACATATCCAAATAAATTGGCCTATTAGCTCAGCTGGTTAGAGCGTCGTGCTAATAACGCGAAGGTCGCAGGTTCGAGACCTGCATGGGCCATTATTTTTTTTTTCTTTTTCCTTGCAATCGTGATTCTTTTTTTTTTCCCTTTTTTTGCCTGAACAATGTTATGTTATTGTGTGTACGTGCCAAGATCAAATTGCGATTCCTGAGTCCTGAACAAGTGATAAAATTGTGTTTGTGTATGTGTGTCTACTGTCAAGATCAAATTCCTGATGATCAAAATTGCAATCCTGAGTCCTGAACAATGTGATACAATTTTGTATGTGCGTATGTTTTTCAAGATCAAATCCCCGAAGATCAAAATTGCAGTCCTCATTCCTGAACAATGCGATGCTATGTTCCACATAATCCCAAGTTCCGACAAACTTTATGCCCTATACAAATTACACAGGAATATAGGCGCAAAAAAGAAAACACAGCAACACGACTGCAAAAACTGAGGATTACTCCACCAAACATAGAAAATTTTGGTAAAAAATAAACATAGAAAATTCTGGTAAAAAATAAACATAGAAAATTCTGGTAAAAAATAAACATCGAAAATTTTGGTAAAAAAAACATAGAAAAATCATATTATGATCTTTCTCTTTCTTTCTTTTTTATACCTTTTTTCTCTTTAACTTATCCTCTCCAGTAAACCTCTCATACTATGATCTCTCTCCCCTTCCCCTTCTCACGTTGAGCTCGAGCGGCGGGCATGGCGGGCGGCGGTGTCGCGCGGGGGTGTGCAGATGATCCTGCGGGCGCCGCTAGAGGCGGGACCGCCGCCGGCGTTGGGCCGGGCGCAACGGCGGGAGAGTCGACGCCGCGGTGGATTGGATACGGGGACGACGGCGCGGCGCGGCTTCGGCTGGAATTCGGCCTCGATCCTGGGCGAGGTTACGCGTGGTGGATTCGGGGACTGTTATCCCGTGAAATCGTCTAGCGATGTGAGGGGGGGGGGGGGGGGAACTCCCACTCTTATGGAATAATGCTGCTGTTCGTCCGGTTTTTTCCTTCAGTCCAGAAACACTGAAACTAAGATTTCCCCTGCAGGAAAGGATTCCTTCAGAAATTCCTCCAATCCAAACGGGACCAGCCATCTCCGATTGATAGGGATTATCCACGATCGAATTTGTCTGCTCCGAAATTCCCTGAGAAGTAGTGCAGAGTACAGTCCATACATGTTCATGTTCATGTTCATATTATTAAAGGATAGGAGTACTCTTTCAAAGTTTCAATGATTTGTTTTTGAAGATCTTTGGCTTCATCCAAAATCTTTTCAATAGCCCAATAGCCCAATTTTCTTCTTTTTTTTTTCTTCTATAGAATAGCAGATGAAAGTTGAAACAGTGGAGGATGTTACAGGGTGAAGCACCGCACCACCACCACCGCAAGCAATCGGCATGGACAAAATATATCTACACCATGTACAGCAAATTACAATCTCAGCTTGGCTCATTGATAGGTACTACTAGCTAATGCTCAGTGCATTCTTCAGTTCTTGAAATATTTTCTCTCCTTTTTTTTGTTTCACTGACTAATCCTCTCAGTCCGTCGTTCTCGCCCGCATCTCCCCCTCGCTTGCGGGGATGATTTGATGAACTCGCTCACCGTGGCTGCAACTGCAAACCTGTCAGGATTCAGAGCAAAGTGGCTCGATTTCTATGGGCAGACCTCTCTGGAACTCCACGTACGGGTATGCCATCGGAATGTCATCGCCATCGATTCTCCATCTGCACAGGTTTTCAAGAAACGAAAGAAACGAAGAACGATGATCAGCCTTTCTCTGGCATGGATATTCAGTAAGTACATGTAGACTCTACTCTGAAACAACCGCATAATTTACATAAATCTGCCTGTTCTTGTCAGTTGTCACGTATAGATTGTTGCTAATGAACCTAGTTTTTTTTTTAAAAAAAAGAGTTTGATCATATCGTGGTAGTATATTTTATCTTGTATGGCAGCCCTCAACTCAACTTGCATAGCCTACCTATCGAAAACTCCATGCTGTCATGTTTGTTCTGTGTGTTGTCGTCTGATTCTATGCTCTACAGTGCCACTTATGAAAATGCACAAGATAGCTGAGTTCAGACTTGCGGTCCTTACAGACAAAAGCATAAATAATTTGCCTAGTTGCTGTCATGGCCTTCTTGCCATTACTTACTAGTGGTCTAGTGTAGTGTGTATTATCAGTATGAGAGTGGTAACTGCATCAGTATGTTTTCCTGTTCATGTTTGCCTCAACAGTTTTCTATGGCCTATTTAAACACCAACTACTCTGCACCAGCTTCTTAAATATTACTTCTGAACGTATTTTGTTCATTGCTGTTTAAGCCAGTCAACTTTGATCCATGCATCTTCTACTCGGGTAGGACAAATATACCCTTTTGTTTTACCTATAATTGAGCACAAGGTGATGGAGGAAGAAAGCAGCCTCTACTTTTGCAAGCTCTGATCCAGGGCAGAGCCGGGGGCCACCGCCGAACGGCGTAAACTTCTTGCTTGTCCCTTGGCTTGCACCCTGTTGCATCAATCAGATTAGGAACACACATGAATCAGACCATTAGCTTCATCACAGAAACTAAGAAAAGGAAGCAAAGCCAAGAATGCTGGCTTTGAATGAGAGGAATCATGGTTAGGACCATGCACAAAAGGCATTGCAGCCACAGGGAGCTTGTTTGGCATCTGAAGACACCAGAATAGTTGCGAGTAATTATGTCATAGTTGGGCGCTCACTAATTAAAGGTAGCAATTAGTTAGAGAACACCCTTTAAAGAAGATTCTTTCAAGGCTCCAGATAAGCTCTCTTGATAGGTGCTCTGAACTTTTCATTTTATAAATTTGTATTATAGAAAAGTATACTACGTGAAAGCTAAGCTTCGTGGCCTAGCTGGTCCAAAACATTTTTCATTAGGTCATTAACAATAAACATTTAGTAAGTATTGCGGAGCATTCACAGATTATGGAAACAAACGTACCTCCCATCTGCAGGGCTGAAATTGTTGGGCATTTCCATGAAGTAAGGGGTTCAAATGAACAGCACTGAAAACAGGTAGGACCTTCCAACCAGAAGGAATCAGATACTCTGCAACAGAGCAAAGAAAAAAGAGCCACTTGCTTTTGAGCATCTTCTATGAAAAGCTGAGGTATTTTAGGAATAACAATGCTTAAAAATCAGTAATAAAGGTGCAACCATCCACTTTGCCTGATCCATTATCATGTGATGAGCACAATGGAATCTTCAAGGAAAGCCTCAAGTAGGGTTAATTACCTTTGTATCTGACATCTTTGAGAGCCTTCCTGTGGACAAACTTGACAATGTTGCCACATCTCAGTGCCTCATTGATAACCTGTAAGGGCATAGCATATGCATCATCATACAGTTTCCATTATTGAAGAACATGTCCCTTCCGCCCTTTTCACTCTATTGTAATGAGATTCTTTCTCTCTCTGTTTCTTTTTCTTTTTTTTGCTTAATTCAAAAATTGCATATATGGGTAGGCATAGGAGAATCGTTCTGAATATGAGTAAACCTCATATTCGGAGGGTCACATATTTGTGTAGTTGCTGATAATAGGAAAAAAAGGTACCCCTGGCTTACTAACTAATCCTAAAGCATGTATTGAACGATCATCTTACATGTTGGGTATATTCCATCTTCTTATAGTCTTCAGAGCTCAAGAACTCGTCCTTCTCTTTCTTCGATCTTATGCCTTCATGCTCCCTCTGCATGCAAACATGTTAATATATATTTTATTGATGGCCACTTAATTAAGTACTTATTTACCAGTACTGCTCTGTCTTTTTCAGCATGAGAAGTCTGTATACCTTCACTAGTTCCAGATCTTGAGCTGACTGCCCAAGGAAATACACAACCATGGAGATCAAGAGTGAGGTGGTCTCATATCCTCCCAGTAAGGAATCCAGCACAAAGCTCACTTTCTCCTCATCAGAGAGCTCATTGCTTGAAAGCAGCACATCAAGGAAATCACCCTTGTTGCTGGAGCCAGCATTCCTCCTCTCCTCAATAATACCCTTCACAGTGCTTGATATCCTCGCTCTGGCCTGTGAGGATTCGCGGACAAAAGGATGAAGTTATTATGGTAAGTATACAAAAATAAAATGGCCTGAAAATTTTATTGACAGTTTAACGACTTGTGTAAATGAGATGTTGAGTTGCATGCCTGCACAGCTTTGGCATAGGGCGTCCCTGGGATGTAGAGAGGGAAAGAGATGAGACCCTTCATGAAGGCGAGGAAATCTTCAAGTATCATGGCAGTGACCGGCTCCTCTGGTGATAGCCCCAGCACCTGCTTCACTATTACACTGAATGCAAACTGTGGTTCTCAAGGAAAGAGAGCACACCAGAGAGAGAAAAAAAAAGAAAAGGTAAAAAAGACCATGGTAAGTCAAAGTGACCTTGGGACAAAGATTCATGCAGCAGCAAGTAACAACATGATGATGATGGTATGTAGCTAACATGTGCAAAGTTTTCCCTCCCTTGTTTCAAGGGATCATGTCCTTGTGGTGATATGGCTCTGGTTTCAAGTTAGTACACTTGCTAACCTTTCTTGCCTCCTCGCAGAAGGCGATGACATTGACCATCCCCTTGTCCTTGCTCTTGCCATGCCATGACCCAACTATATGCAGTGCAATCTTCTCAATGTCGCCAAGGTAGCTGGGCTTGAGCTTTGTGGAGGTGACCAGTGCTAGAGCAAGGTTCCTGAGCCTCTTGTGGTCCTCCCCTAGGACCACTAACATGGAGGACTTGCCCAGAATGCCATGAATTGGCCTGGGGTAGCTGCACTGAAACAGCCTCTCCTCATTCTGAAGGATGAAGTGGTTCAGCTCCTGGTCACAGGACACTATGGTGGGGGTGCAGAACAGATGGGACTTAAACACCCTCCCATACCTGCATCATCATCATCACACCATCATCAGTGTTACTACCACCATGCATGCTAGCTAGTTAAGTGTTGTGCAACCTTTACATTCCTTTTCTCTCGCTTGTTCATCGGAAGAAAAGGTTTGCACAACTCTTTAACAAGATGCTAAACACTGTCCAATTCATGTTACAGCACCCCCCTCATCAGGGAGGAAAAAAAAGGGCGTGATAAAGCTGCTGGGACAGGACAGCAGCATTACCTTGTGCTGTCACATGAAATAATGGTACAGTACTTAATTGCATGGTAAGATGACACTTGTTGCTCCTGTGTGGTTGTGGTGGTGATACTGATAGAAATGTTTACTGCATATGATTTTAATTTACCTGGAGCAGTGATCCTCCAGGAAGCTGCCCAGGGTGTTGCTAGCATGAGGACTGAGGAACCTCAGCGTCTCACCAAGGAGAGGCCACCCAAAGCTTCCCTTGGGAGCCTTGGGATTCAGGAGCAAAGGCAGGAAGTGGCTCAGCACCAGGGTCAGCAGCAAAGCAAGCAGGATCACCAGAGCAGCCAGCACAAGCTCTCCTCCCACCATCTTACCTATAGCCTCACACCAGGCACCACCACCCCCTGCTCATCTTATCTCAATCTCATCTCACAACAAGAAGCATGGATGGAGCCTTGCAGCAGCTAAGCCTTAGCTTGCTAAGCTCTCTCTCTCTCTCTGCCTATCTGTCTATTCTACCAAGTTTCTATCTAACCCTTTCACTAGCTTGTGCTCAACACTCTGCTTCTCTCCCTCTCCCTCCCTCTATTTTTCTCTGGAATGGAAGGTGAGGGGGGAGGCTATATAGCAGTAGAAGCAAAGGCAGGAAGGATCTTTGCAAAGGGAGGGAGTGATGGAAAGGGGTGATGAGCAGGGGGGGGAGGGAAAAAAAATAGAGGCTGCCTTTTGTTTCCTTGCTTTGGCCTTGTTTTAAAGTAGAAGTAGGGGTATTTCTTTCTTGCATTGTTTGATCTCTGTTTCTCTCTGTTTTCTTTTTTTTTTTACTGCAGTGAAGTGAATTGGCTGCATGCATATACTGTGCCAGTAGTAGCTTTTATCAAGGAGGGCTATGAGCCTACAGCCTAGGACTAGGAGGATGGTCCAATGCAGAGTAGCTAGCATCTAGGCTGCTGCTGCTGCTCAAGGTGCAGTCAAACACGCAGGTAGAGAGAGAAATGCATTGGGGTAGTACATGCACAGCCAGGTGCAGATCGATGCATGGGACATCGGTGATAATTAAGCTCTCTCTGAATCTGATGAAGCTTATGCGCGCGCGCGCACACACCTTGCCTTTGCAATCTGTTCTTGGGGATCCCCTGCTTCGATGACTCATATCTGTGTCATTTCCTAAAGCCCTTCTTTTTCATGACAAAAATTACAGCAACAGGGGTCGATTTGGCCTTGTTCACTTCAGTTTGTCTGTGTTTTTTATGGTGACTTGTGTGTGCTTTGTCATAATTCTGAAGATGTTGTATAGTGTACAACATATGTCATGTCTCCCCTGGCCCTGTTTCTCCCTAGCAATCTGGCCGGCCTTTGCCGAGCTATGCTCAAAAGTCAAACGTCTCCCCATGCATGCACAATCTCGTCGTCCTAGGTCAACATGTAACTCTCCCAAAAAAAAACCACTTATGTCCATATTCAAACCCAGAAGTGGGTTTTTTTTTTGGACGGATGGAGTATTTGAGAGAAGGAAAATGAGAAGATTGTGAAGTACAGAATACGAGATAAGCCATTAAAGAAAATGGGTATTAACTATTTAAAGTTTAAAAATAGATTAATACATTTTTTTCCAAAGCAACTGTCCTATATTTTTTTTATAAAAAACACGCATCATTTAGTAGTTCGAAAAACGTGTACGAAGAATGAAAGTGCAAACAATCCAATCTCATAAGAAACATGAAAAGAAAGTCACATTAAAACATAATCAAAATCCTGCGACGCTATAATATGTATAAACATTGCATATGCGCATGGCTCAAGTTTTAGTGTGTCAAGTTAACTCAACTAGATATATACTACAAATCATTCGTATAACAAGTGGTTGCGGGGTAATACATTATACTTCCTCCATCTCAAAATGTTGCTCCATCCTAGAACAATGAATCTGGACATCATCTGTCTAGCAACATTTTGGGATGAAGGAAGTAGGTGTTTTACTATGGTCTCTATTGATAATAGATATCTAGACTTTTTTTTACTGGATCCTATCTATTTATACTGCCACCCTAACTATTAGTATAATGTTTTTTATCTATTGGTGGTAGAATTTATAAATCAACAACTGAGAGATTTCTTCTACCGGTGATTATAGTAGCACTAACGGTAGAAAACCACCGAGAAAATAGTTATTCATTTTTAACTTGTCATTAAAGATAGTTATCCTCTAAAACTCTACAGTAATACATTTTTTTACCGATATTTTTAGTTTTGCCAAAGTATAAATTTTACACCAAACAGGAACTGGTCTCTTGCTAACAGGGGAACTCCGACAACCACTGCCACCCTCCCCGCCCTGTATAATCTTACCTCTACTGGCAATTATTAGACCTACTCCTACAATGGCCACCAAAATGTACCCAACACCAAGCACCAACAATTAACTTTCTTTGAGTAGGACTTTAAAAAGAATCCACTGGATTAAACTTCAAGTCTCAGTTATAAATACCATTTGCTTCTACTCCTATTCTATTGTAACTAGAATATGTGATCGAATTTATGAGGACATATACAATGGCTTTGTGCCATCTTTAGTTCACTAAATCAGAAAAATTCTAAGTGGATAGGTGGATAAGGAAAACTAAGCACATATGAATTGAAGATATGCATATAAGTGGATTGAGGATGCCCTGATGCTATCAAACGAAAGGAGAAAAACTTGGTGTTGTCCTCGCACCTAGGACCTTGACTGCTGCATTCATCGTCGTATCACTATCACAACCAGATGTCCTGACTTGACTCTCTTATATATTTTCGCATTTGTTACTTATGCCCACCGCAAGAAGAGTACTTCCTCCGTCTCATTTAAAGTGTATTTATGGGTATATGTATCCAGCATTTGACCGTCCATCTTATTTGAAAATTTTATGAAAAAATAAAAAAGTCATACATAAAGTATTATTTATGTTTTTATCATATAATAACAATAAAAATATTAATCATAAAAAAATAAATCAGACAGACAGATAAACGTTTAACAAAAATTTCACAAATATATTTAAAATGAGATGGAGAGAGTACTTACACTTACTATTCTGTTTTGTTAGCTACAATTGTACATGGCCTCCTGCTTTTTTTAGAGAATGGCGCCCTTTATTGATCATGGCATATTATTACATAGGGTCTCCCGAATATCATCTGGAATTACTTTACGAAGGATATCATCACCAGAGTTTTCACGTGAACGAGCTAGAATATTAGCCACGATATTCGGCACAAGATGACATTATTAAAGCTAACAAAAGAGAAACATGTTACCATGACATCACAAATTAAAAGGGCCTGTTCAAATTGTAGCCAAAATAAACCTTAATAAATTTTGGCAATGCTAAAATTTTGACAAAATAACAATATTGCTAAAATTTTGGCATGATTTCTTATATATTTACCAAATTTGGCAACAAACTAAACGTAGATTTTTTTTTGCAACTCTGCCTAAAAATTGGTATACTTGAAAATATTATCAAAGTGAACAGGCCCTAAGATTGTACTCCATCTATCTCTAAACAAGTACTACTCTGTTCTAAAAAAAATCCAATCCTATCAATAAACCTAGAGACGAATGTGTCCAGATTCGTTGATAGGATTGGGTTTTTTTTTTGACGGAGGGGTACATTTTTCACTTATCCCATACATAACAATATAAAGCTAAAAAAAAGAATACCCCAACTTCTTCAAATCACGATGTAATTATTCCCATTTTTATCTACTCTCAATGCATTTATTTTTCATTTTCACAAACTCCGATAAAATGATTACTCAAAAATAATTTATGTTAGGGCAAATGGGAGGAGCCAAAAGTGATCTTATTCTGGTGTGGAGAGTAGCGATGATACAACTCAATATTAGTATATATTAAGGTGCAATTAAAAAAAGATTGAAGTATAACAGTAAATATTTTTTAACCATGATAAAATACCTAGATAAATTGGTACTTCCCCACCAAATATAAAAAGGTCAAAAGAAAGTTTCTAAAATTTTAATTGGGTTGTACACTTATTTCCATGAGCACATTTTAGATGTACTTGTAGCAATGGCTTTGCTTGACCGAGAGTACACAGAGGGGGTGTTTAGTGACACTAAAACTTTTTAGCCCATGTCACATCAGATGTTTGGATGCTAATTTAGAGTATTAAACATAGACTAATAAAAAAACTAATTTCATAAATGAGAGCTAATCCGCGAGACGATTTTTTTAAGCCTAATTAATCCATAATTATCAAAGTTTACTGTAGCATCACATTGTCAAAATTATGGCGTAATTAGACTTAAAAGATTCGTCTCGCGAATTAGTCCAAGCTTATGGAATGTGTTTTGTAATTAGTATATGTTTAATACTCTAAATTAGTGTCCAAACATCTGATGTGACAGGGACTTGGAAACCAAACAGCCCCAGAGACATGAGCAACAGTTGGGGAAAAAATATTCCTTGAGGTGGTGGTGGTGGGTAATACATTTAAGGAACCGCACGAGTGGCAGCGGTTGCAGTACAGGTAGGTCCACCTTAGCCTCATCGATTGGAGTGCCCACACGAACACAAAATTTAATCTCTCATTTACTCGTACTTCTTTTTTCCCAATTGGTCAGATCTAACCATACCTTTCTCTGTGCCCTCCCTCTTGTATTACCCCTTTTCTCTTTACTTAGCTCGATCATGATCTGGTTGTTTAGCAAAGATTGGAGCTTTATCCAAAAACAATGGGCAGTGCAGCAGAGCGTGATCCTTTTATTAGCATTGGTATTTCAAGCGTTTTTTTTTCTTCCTTTGTACAAAGGTTTTTCCCCGGCAAGTTTGAGGAGGGCTAGATTTCAAATGTAACATACTCTTAGACTTTTGTTACTAAATATAATTATATTTTCATATACAACTAAATTGATTATAAATATGCATTTACATAATAGGCTGACCATGACTATGCACATATATTTCTTAGATTAACGTAGTAATTTCTAAACCTTGGAACGAATATGGTGATATTTTTCGGAGAAAGTTGGCATTTATACCGAATCAATAAGGAAAGGGAACACATGCAGCCTCCTAGAACCTCTCTTAAATTGGCAGAGGCCATGGCCAAATTTAGATGTGTGTTTTCTTTGCTTCTCTGGTCCAAGGGAAAGAAAAAGATGCATAATTGGTTTGAGGAGGAACACCAACAAGAAATCATTCCAAATGCTTGTCTTGGCTCAACACTGCGTTTTTTTAAGAAAGGTTTCATTGATATCATGTTTTGGGCATGTTGATATATTTGGAAGCAGAGGAATGCTAAAATCTTCTATAGAATGCAAGGCAGATTTTGCCCACTGGTTTCAAATTAATTTCTAGCCATCAAGTTGTCCAGCATATTTTCAGGATCCTGTTCGATAAATAGTGTTTGATTGGTTATGCCAGTTGTAATTGGTTGTGATCTTGCATTTCTTTTTCATCTCACAAATACTCTGCCCTTCTATATAATAATAATATAATAAAAACTACTAGGCTAAAATGGTTAACTCGACATGAATAATATCTGGGGCGCTGGACTTGTCTACCAGGCTGCCAATTCATAAGAATAAATATGTCCAATAAAATATTAAATATACTCATGCGATGATAATCAGGTTCACACATGTATGAGGGCATGAACAAAAGGAAGAGAAGACGCCACATCATTCTTTAATTTGGAAGAAGATGCCACGTGAGATTTTCAACGACGTGAGAAAAAGGAAGAGAACGATGATAGAGAAATGTGGTCTATTGATTAATAGACCGTATAATCATTATATATGTCATTTTTATATACAACTAAATCATTAATTATGTAAATCTATTATAGGTAACTAAATAGACAAACTATTATGTGAACTGTCTATACATCTTCGAACGTGAAAGATTTACATAAATATAATAGCAGCCATCTAAATATTGTCAATACTTTGATATCAAAATGGTTAATGCTAACTAGACGAGCTACTCCTAAACAAGTCGAATGCAGAGTGTTGAGGAGTCCTTTCCTTAATTAGGAGTGTGTTCAGAGTTATTGGAGGATGGTGGTGTTCTTTTTTCTTCTTAATTACAATCTCCCGAAACTGTAATCCTGTAATTTTCTTTGCTATATCAATAAACCTCACACTGTGTCGTGTGAATTGTTTCGATCGAAGAAAGAAAAAAAAAACGAATGCCCAGTGTTGAGACTTGAGACGACATCTATCTAGTTCTCTACTTCTACTTTCTTCATTAGTACGATTGAGCTCATGAGTTGGGAATAAACGCTACGATAGAAGGACCACAC